GGGGGGGGGGGCGCAGAGGGAAGAGGCAAATGCAGATCAAGGATTTCTTTGCAGTAGAGACAGGGAAATACGAACACTGTTGCACAACAGCAACAGCTTGTCCGGAATACCACGCACACCATTCTCAGTTCCTGTTTTCAGGGAAAGAAGTCCTAATTACAAGAACTACAGAGAGGAGCCTCAGGTATGACCAAAGACCCTGTTGTGTAAAAGAAAAATTACTCTTGCTTACCAAAATGAAACTGGAATGAAGATAAACATAACAACTCTTTATAAGGATAAACATCAAAGAGAGAGAAGTGCCAACACTATTCCTCAGTTTAAGTCCAACAAATGAAAGTAAACTAAAAAAAAGTAAAATTTATACTGCTATTCCAGAATCCAAGTTCAGCTCCAAATATAGAACAAACCTAACATTCTATGGCCAAAAGCAGAAGATGCAGAAAGCCTACCTGCTTTTAAGAAAAAGGTATCATACCTTCTGTTATATGATGCTCGACATGTAAGCAAGTAATATAGTTTGGTGTCACTGTTTTTATTCTGATATAACAATGTGTCATTTAAAATTAAAAAATTAAATCTAAAAAAAAAATTGTGAATACTATTAGGAGTATAGATTTCCTCTTGACAGCAGAAAGCAAATAAAAATCAGAGTCAGTGCAACAAAAGAGGAGAGAAGGAAAGAAAACAAAGAAACCTGGGAAACCTGGAAAAAATAAAAAAGCAATAGTACCTGTGATAGCATCTACTGGTTCCTCTTCTGGGTGAAGAAGCGGTCAGTGTGTCATGACACTTTATGAAGATTAGAACATACTGCAGCTCAAAATTATTATTTTGTGAAAAGCATCTCCCTCCCAACAACTACACCCAAGTTATCCGAGACAGTATTAACATGATCATGTGTGAGCCACAGCCTGTTTTTTTTGGGTTTTTTTTTTTTTTTTCAGTAAACTACCTTTTCGGTTCATAAGTTTATAGAAAAATAAGTGGGAACAGCAGAAGAAATATACTGAGTTACTGGCACAGAAAACATGCAATATTTGATTATTTTTGATAGAAAACTTGATTTAACACCCCCCAAAACCAGAAAAAAAAATGCACATTGAAAAATTAGACAAATGAAGGATGCAGAAATCCCCACCACACACAAGTTATTGCTTATACGTGTATTTCTATAATATTATCCTTATACTATACATATAGTAAAAAGAGTGTGGAGGGAAATATTCTGCACAAAATTACAAAAAAAATTTTTTTTTTTAATTGACAACTGCACACCTTTAAGTAGTAAACAACAGGTTAGAAACAGGAAAACCAAATGACCTGGTATGTTCTCTTACCAGAAAGTCTTTCCTTACAGTGTCTTTTCCAATACACTATTTATTGCAAAACTCGTCACTATGTTTCCCTCCTGTATAATGGAAACCATGTATGTCAATGATAATATTTGCCAAGGCAACAGGCAGAAAGAGACTTGATGAGGTTTCTGAAGATGCCTGGTAACTACCTATATTTTAATGAGCTTTCCACGTTTCAGTTGCCTCTGTCTGACTTTACCAAGACCATCCCAATGCAGCAGCAGGGAGGAGAAAAACCCCAGTTTTCTGAACACTCAAACACTTTCCTTTTTTATTATATAACCCTGACCTGACTATTGCAGACTCCTGCAAAGAACCACTAATTTTTGGTGAAGTA